GATTGCATCCACGGACTCTTGGTAGTGAGAGGCAAGGACGGAGTCCTCAGAGTTGAAATTAAATCATCGGAACATGATGGTAAATTCTGCTTCCTTTATCCCCTCTTACTTCCGTACAAGCATTATTTGACTGAATACATAATAGAGTATCATGAAAAGAACTGTCATGCTGGAGCGCAGATATTAGCTGCTAAATTAAGAGAGCGATACTGAATCATTTCGTCCAAACGTAATATAAGATCTTGCGTAAACCGATGTGTGGTATGTAGGAGATTTACCGCTAAGGCTTTATCCACTCCTTCGATCCGGTTACCCCTTGACAGAGTAAGAGATTTGGCAGTCTTTGAAACAGCTGGAGTCAATCTCTGTGGCCGTTTACTTCTGAGACCAAAGGGTACAGCTTGGATCGTCTTTTTCACTTGCACAGTATACCGGGCAATTCACCTAGAGCCTATCACCTCTCTGAGTACTGAAACCTTTCTAGATGCTCTGAGACGGTTTATTGCCAGACGAGGCCGTCCTGCGACAGTGTATTCCGATAACGAAATTAATTTTATCGGAACAGTCAATGCTCTGAAATGCCTGGATTGGAGAAAAATCACAGAAACCGAGTCTTTTCCAATAACGTGGAGATTGACCCTTCCTACAGCTTCGTGGTGGGGGATGGTAGGAGCGCTTAGTTCGTTTATCCAAGACCCATCTCGTGCGAAGTTTAGAGAGATTGTCGATGAATTTCGAGGAGTTACTGACGGTCTTGTGTGATGTTGGATCCATATTAAACAGACGTCCTTTAACGTACATCTATGATGATTCAGAAGAGCTCGTACCTCTGACACTTTCCCTATTTTTGCAAGACATAAAACAAGTGGGGGTACCATATCTGAATTACATCGATTTCAGAAATTGAATGTGTGGGCAAATTACTGCAGTACATTGAAACAAGAATTGAGAAGTTGCTTCCGCAAGGAATATCTGGCCCAACTGGCGCAGAAGGGCAGCATGTCAAAACCTAAAGGTGGGAGACATAGTCCTCATAGAGCTAGATAATAAAAAACACGTAATGTGGCCAACGGGCAAAATTGTAAAAATATTCAATAGTAGAGATTGGGCTACAAGAGTAGTAGAAGTAAAAACAAGCAGTGGATATTTGGTAAGACCATTTAAAAAAACTATATCCAATAAGGAATTTAGCTGCCAGCGATCCTGCGCTAACCCTGGCAACTGAAAACAGATCTAGATACGGCAGACTCTTAAAACCAAGGACAAACTCATAGACGTAAAGCACAACATAGAATTTTTGGACTTATATCCTTTTGTTTAGCAATGACTGTAATTGTTTTAAGTTTATTCTTTATTGATCTCATTTTAGTATGCTCCATCATATATATTGTATGTTAACCAAGTTTCTATTATGTTTTCCTAACCAATGCATTAATATTGGTTTTGTCTCATTCGTAATGTTAGAACACTTTGTGTAATGTCTGATTTTGAGAAACTCAGGGTGCGAGAATGTTGTGCCCCTCACATACATCGAGAATAAGTCTGGCAACAACTGTAGTAGAAAAAATTGTGCATCGTGTAACGTCTGAACTCCCGTGTTGGGTGAAAGGAAAGAGCGGTTGTCTTTTAAATATTTATTTTAAAAACTTAATAAGAATTTTCTTGATTACCAATAAATAAAATAATCAACCATTCATTAGCCATAATACAAACAATGGCCGCTGGATGCACTCGACGACGCTGGATTGCGTCTTCTTCCGACTCGTTCAGGCGGCAGACAGCGGGAGAAATCGCTTGACAGACGACACGGGCGACTGGACGACCGATATCGCGTTTTGTTAAACGTCTTGTCGGAAATAGCTTGGAATGGGGTAATTTACGACGTCTCTTGGCCCGGAACCCGCACCAGGGGATTGCCGCAACACCTTTTCTCAAAGTTCTAACTGACAATTAATCTCTTAGACGAACAGGAAGTTCTTCTCATTAAGCACATGTTCGACAGAGGTGTGCATATCTTACAATCGTTGGAAGGGCAGCAGCGGATGAGATTCCATACATTTTTGTTTTTTAATGCAGTCAATTCGTGCGAGACTATTGCGTTACGAAATTGAGTTTGGGTGTGAATGAAATGGAATCCGCTGCGGATATTAGTGATATTTATCAAATTGGCTGCGTTTGAGAAGATGAGGACTGCTATGTTTAAGTTTGTGGTATTTAAATTACAAAAGTTTTCTCAAGTTTAGAAAAAATATGCTGGGCTTATTTTCGTTATTCAGATAAGTGAAATTTTATGTTATTGTGGTTATATATAATTTGCAATATAAATATGATTAGAATTCTATTAAATACAGTCTTAAAAAAATCTGGAATAGTATTTAAATTTGTAGCTGTTGAGTATACATTCTACACTGGTGTGCAAAAATTAAGGACGAAGTCGAAAAATTAGCATATCAGCTGAATGAAGAGGCAGAGCGGACAGAAAGATCAATCAGGAGATTAAGTAAAGTGATGTACGGTAGCACATGCGCAGATATGCAGGTAGACGTAATGGGGGAGTGTCTGAGTAGTATAAAGCATGTTGTCGGTGTAAGATCAGTATTTCTGGCAAAGAGATTGCACGCCGTATAGCAGTCAAAATCACACCGAGTTGCTCCCTCAGCGAGAAATGGAGAATAATCAATCTGTTAGACGACATCTGGATGCTTTTACCCGAGGTCGAATCATTGGGAAGTTGGCGGAAGGCCTCAGTGTGACAAGTGTGGCTGCAGAGTTCGGAATTGCTCACAGCATCGTTTCACGACTTTGGAGACAATTTCAAACTACAGGAACAGCTATCCGGGGGTTTAGTAGTGGTCGTCCACGAGGAACCACACCCGCAGATGACCGGTATATTGCCTTACATGCCAGAAGAAACAGGCGGAAGACAGCGGGAGAAATCGCTAGACACACGACACAGGCGACTGGACGACCGATATCGCGTTTTGCCGTGGCCAGAAGACTGCACGGTGGTGGTCTGTTTGCACGACGCCCTGTACGGTGTGTACCTCTAACGCCTGCCCATCGGAGAAGGCGTTCTCTGTGGTGCCGGGAACACCGGAATTGGAGAGACAATGAATAGGGACGAGTAGTCTTTACAGATGAGAGCAGATTCAGTCTGAGTAGCGATTCTCATCATTTACTCATCTGGAGACGGCGGGGAAGCCGCAATCATCCCTCTAACATCATTGAAAGGGACAGGTATGGAGGGTGGCGGTGTTCTCGTTTGGGGAGGCATCATGCTTGGTAGTCGTACAGACCTTCACATCTTCGACGCAGGTTCAGTCAACGGGACCCCGTTATTGTAACAAGATTCTTCTTCTATGTGCGTCTTTTAGAGGCGCTATGGGGTCCGCAGTTCCTTTTCATGGACGACAATGCACCATGTCATCGCACAGTAGCTGCCGAACAGCTCTTAGAGAGTGAGGATATTGAACGTATGGATTGGCCGGCACGATCTCCGGATCTCAATCCCATCGAACATGTATGGGATTTTCTAGGCAGACGCTTGGAAGCTCGTACCTTACACCAGTAACGATTCCGGAGCTCGATTGGGCGCTGTAAGACGAATGGGCAGCAATGCCTCAACAACTCATTGACACCCTCATTCTCAGCATGGGAGACGCTGTGAACCTGCCTAGCAGTCAGGGGAGATATATTCCCTATTATTAAAGACTGGATGTTCTTGCTGGACACCCATCACAGGGTGTTTCGGCCTTCAGTCGCATTGCGCTCCATGCTACTTTTTCAATAAAACTTCTTTTATCTCTCTGATTTCTCTTTAGTATGTGTTGCTTACATTACTCATGTCCTTACGTATTGGGGATCTTACGGTATTAAATGTGTTGATTTGGAAAGCTTTTGTACAAAGTTATATTGAAAAAAACCGTCTCGTCCTTGATTTTTGCACACCAGTGTATGTCGGAGCTAGTTGCAGTCTGGTCTGAAAAGTGAGAATATTTGCTCACGACATAAGATGACGTGTTATTTTACCTCAAATTCGATTAGCTCCAAACAAACTCCCCCCTTCCTTTTACCATCTTCCACGAGGTATACACACCGTTTTGTGCTAACATTTTCTTCTTTCATTTGGAATAAAATTTCGCTGTATGCGTGGAAGTAAGATTTTTTTAAGTTTCATTTATAATTTACACCTTTTTTTGCATTAGAGTGTTTTTCATTTTTCATATTTGATTTAGTGCTGACGTGTTCCCAACTTTTTATTTTTTTTTCATTTTAAGTGTGAATTTTTTAAAAATGTTTTAGGCTTTACTATAGGTTAGTTAAATTTAATTGCAGTTTTTCATTTTTTCGCTATGTCTTCAACCATTAATCATTTACAAAATTACGCCTGAAACAGTAGAAATTTCTAAATTATCTTAAATTTTTGTTTAAGCGTAAAAGTTAACCCCCAAGTTTAAATGTAATCAAAAACCTTTCAGTCATGTTTTAAAAAATTCTCCTGAATTGGAAACTAGTCTTGCTTCGGTCTATCATAAGGGACACAAGTCGACAGTTATCGAAGCTATGTAAGCCTCATCTGGAACTTGCTAATTCATGTCCAGAATTCACTGCCATTGAACAAGAGTCCTGGTCTAAAATGAGTCCTGGTCAGAATGAAATTAAATGCCATAGAAAAGACTCTTGAGTCTAAACTCCAGAACCTCCTTTCACAGTCTTGTAATTTAAGTATTTTAAAAAAATCTTCGCATCTTAAACACCAAAGGTAATTCTGAAATATAATTTTAACTTCACAAACCTCAAAACCTTCGATTCCAAAGATTTTACCTCCTAATGAAAAAGGCTTTCAAGTTCAGTAAAGTTTCAAATACTCAAGAAATGATTTAACACTTTATTGCCCTTAATGTGAAATTTAACAGTAATCCTTTAACCCTAATTTGAATGCGAGAGAAGAAGCTTCATTATACGAAAGTAACTCTAATCTATATATTGTTATTTCAAAGGGTGATAAAGATGGCCATATAGTTGCCATGGACCAAAATACTTACACTGATGGTGTAGCTGAACTCTTAAAAGAAGGCCCATTAAATCTGACCTCTAAGGATTCTTCACCTTCGGACCTTTAAAAAAAAAAAAAAAAAAAAAAAAAATCTACTTGATCCACTTTACAAATCTACTTGATCTACATAACAAAATCATTTATTCCATCTGTTGCGAATTGTCCCAGATTATATGCACTACCCAAAATTCATAAATTCATAAAAGTGGTATTCCGTTCCATCCTATTGGATCAAATTTAGCCGCTGCCTTATACCTATTAGCTAAATGTTTAGTTTCTTGATTTTCGGCTTTGTTAGTTAATAACACTTACGTCTATAAAAAGTTTATAAAATATAGAGTATATAAGAAAAGTAAAATGTTTTTTCTCTGAAAATTTCATCATAGTTTCTCTGTCCATGTAAAATCATTAATCACCCATGTTCCAGTGCAATTTAAACACCTAGAAACAAGTCTTCAAGAATTTCATTTCTCCTGTATCAAAATTGATGAGTTAATTTCCCTTACTAAACATTTTATTTTAAACATTTTATGTGTGAAACATTTTATTTTTCAGAATGAGTATTACAGTCAAACTGAGGGATTAACCATGGGAAGTTGGCTTAGTACTATCCTTGCTGATATCTATATGCATTATTATGAAGCAAAATTATTTAAAATTTTAACACCAGAACCACGGAACTAGGTATATCTAACCTAGAACCGCGGTGCGGGTTAATTTGGCCCTAGACAGAAAACACCTAAAAATATGCACAAGTGATTACTTAACTAAAACATTTTTTTTAATGTAACAAACAATATTTCTCAAACTTTACGTTAAATACTTTATATATATCAACGGAATATAATTATATATATCAACGGTTTTATATAAATCAACGGAAATTATCTAAATTTTTAGAAAACTGTATTATTTCAAATTTTATTTCCGTAAGTATAATAACATTTTTTTAAAGAAAATAAAACTTAATTTTTGTAATTTTGGTGTAAAACCACAGTATATCATTTAAATAAATTTAGACATAATTTTAGAGAATAAATAAAAATTTTATCAGTTTTTTACAGATTTTTTAAAAATCCGATTTATTGTATGCATATAAGGTATTTCTCCCGCCTTCCTAGCGTGCTTTCGTGGTGTAGTGGTTCTGCACGCTGGGCCAGAGGTCGTGGTTGGATACCCGGTGAAGACGGTTGCTAATTTTTCAATCTCTCTTGCTTCCAAAAATACCTAATGTCTCTGCATGCATTGTACATAAAATTTAGTGATAAGTTTTGTACATTTACCACTAATGGGAATTTTGTAATTTTGAACAAATATCTTGGGTTTTATTTTCACATTTTGAACTGTGGCATCGGACTCGTTTCCGCTTAACTTGTGGTTGTCCATCGTTTTCAGTAGTTCCTGTATACCGATATGCCCTTTTTTTTTTTTTTTTTTTTTTTTTTTTTTTCGGGGAGAGAACGAACTTTTCTCTGAGTTCTTCAACTAAGTCTTGAATGAATTTCCGTCTACTATTAGATTTTCCTGCACTTTTTCTGAAATGCCAATTGTTTTTCCATATTTCGGTTCTACGACTCAATTTATGCCTAAAAATTACATTTTAGAAAATTTGGTGCAAAATTTACGGGAAATTCAAAAATTTAGTTTGGCACTTTTTTTTAATTTTTTTTTTTTTTAATTTTTCAGTTTCCTTTTTTTTATTGTACACGAGCGGGAAAAAAGTCATCGTTCATACTTTCAAGTAATTTTAACAAAGGGCGTAAACCACATTTGTCTTTATTACCGCTTATAACATATATGCCAAATTTCAAAATGCGCCAGTATGTAAATTCATGTATATCTCAGAAAATTTTGAATAAAAAAACTCTTGATTTTTTGCAGATGTGCCTAGAAAAACATCTACTTGAAGGTAATATTAAACATTTTATAGGTTATAATACAAACATTTTTTCGAGAAATTTATAAAAAATATTTAAAAATACAAATTTTGAAAATCAATCATAAAAAATGTGCGAATTATATGTGGATTAAGCGTAAATTTCGAATTCTGGAAGAAGGAACCAAGTAAGTTGAATAAAAAAAGGAGATATTAATATATATATATTGAAGATGAACACTTACGTAACCTTATGCAACTTGGCACTAAATTTCGTCCTACTTTCAGTATTAATAAACACTTTAGCCTTAAACAATTCAATAATGATCCTTGACAAATTTATCATTTTAGCTAGTAATAGATCCAATTTACCTACTACTACTTTTCTGGTAGTAGTAGGTAAATTGGTAGTAGTAGGAATGGAAAGCTGCACTAATTAAAGAATTTCAGCTTATGCTTTTCAAGTTACCCAATTTCAATTATTTGCGCAATAAAAAGCATCTAGAAATTCTTATTCAGAAACAGCATGATAACTTTATCATCACAAAGATTGACAAAGCTAGCAACAATTTTAGTGTTATATGAAAAAAGTTTTATTTCGATCTTTTGCATAATGAATTGAATAACACTTGCACCTACCAAAAGATTACTACCAGCACTCAGATTCTTCTCAATAAATTTAATGCACTACATAAAAAACTTAAAATCCTTCCTCGGAAATATTATAACAGATTTGCAAATCTATATGCACTACCAAAATTTCATAAGACTCCGATCAAATTTAGGTTCATTGCCAATAGTACCAAAAGTTATCTTAAAGAAATAGATTATCTCTTTGCGCAAAAACTACGTCTAATACGTGACCTCATTAATAATTTTGATTTTAAAGATCTGCATTGCAATGGATGATTTCAAGTAACGAAATGGTTTTAAATACTATAAATACACTTAAAATAGATCATATCCAGTGCTACGACTTTGAAAACCTCTATACTACTTTACCACTTGAAAAATTCATCAAAGTTTACTTGCTCTTCCTGAATTATTTCCACAAATTTCTACAATAATAAATACTGAAAAATGGCAACTTTTTCTTTAAAGCGTACTTGCAATAATTTTATTCAATTACAACAACAACATGTTTAAACAAATACAAGGAATTCCAAGGGAGGTAATTTTTCAGTTCTGTCTGTGAATTATTCCTTTTTACAAAAGAATTAACTTTTATACGTTCACTCAGTAAGGAAGATCATAAATTTTACCAACACATCTTTCGATATATTGATGACGTAATAGCCTTCAACAACTTCAACAAGATAGAAAATGCTAATATCTACCCTTCGTGCCTAAAACTTAATAATACAAATACCGTGCAACATAATATAGTCTACCTTGATTTACATATTATAGATTACAATTTAATAAAAGTATATGACAAAAGAAGAGAATTCAACTTTTCAACACTTAAACTAACCAACTGGAATTCAAATATTTCTTGAAGAGTCATTCTCAACAAAATTTACTCACACTGCTTAGAATTAAAGGATCTGCAATACAGCAAAACACCTTCAAGAAGTACTATACTTCGTTAAAATTTTGAAAAATAACCTCATTCCTCAAAAAGTAATTAAAAATACCGTAAAAAAAAAGCTGGCATTAGCCTTACCAATTTTTAGATTTTTTAAAATTAGATAATGAAATTTTATACTTAAAGTGCAATGGGACGGTATAAAGTGGATGGCTGATTCTGAAATCTAATGTATAAATGTACAGATAATTCTTGTCACTACGTCTTCTTTCCTCTTAAAATTTGGTACAATACTTTTAATACTATTTTTAAATGGTTTTAAAATTACTTTGATGGCCAATTCTATACTAGTATTAACAAATGGGCTTTTTCGTTTCTGGCAGCTTGATCGCCGTCTAGCTTGAAGAATTACGACTTTAATTAACAAATTACTATTTTTTCATTATTTCTCTTACTTTAGAGGCCATTTTAGGCATTTTTTTAAGCTGAATTAGCCATTTTCACTTTTGTCCGGTCCTTTTTCTTCGTACTACTATGACAAGACGCCATTTTGAACTTTTCCCACTTTTTTCACCCCCTTTTGCGATTAGTCAGATTGCGGCCAACGGACAGTCGCTTGACATTGGCTATTGCCCAGTGACGTTGTTTTTTCCCCATTTCTACGTCATGCAACTAGTTGGAGGGCAATGGAAACGTAAGGGGATGTGCAGCCCTTTTCGAGTTTCCTCGTCACCAGAGAAGACGGCATCATTCCAAATCTGTTTTTTATAATTTTTTCTAAAAGTTTTCTAGGTCTTGGCAAGACCCATGCTGCTTGTCGTCTTGTTTAATTTTTTCCCCCTTTTTAATTTAAATATTATTTACGTTTCCTTTGCTAAGTATTAATCCTGTAAGCTAGCAGGTCCAGCCCATAAGTTATAGTATATTTTGAGTAATAGCATACCGCTATTTATTTATTATTTTTTTCTGTACATCGGAATTGCTTTTCCATTTTTACACCTTAATGTGTCAGTATATGCGGACGCGTTGGAAAATTGGAACAGAGAATTGAGACTAAAGTTTTTTAGACATAGGTTATTTAATCCATTAAAAATTTGTCGCGCAAAGTTTCAATTGTCTGTTTCGGCGAAACGCGTAATGGAGTTGGCTTAGTTCGAGGTTCATTTTAAAGAAATTTCCCTTGAAAAGCCAAAATGAACTTCGAATTGGGCTAATTAACCATTTTCCGCTTCTTAATTTTAATATGTTTTTTACATTGTTCAATTGATTAGTATTTTTCTGTGTTTATAATTAACTTTTTATTCAGCATATAGCGAATTATTTTACATCGTTCAATTGATTTTTTTACTATGTTAAAAATTCCTAATTTATTTAGCAAATATTTTTTTATTAATTTAAAAATTTTTTTTCTCTTTTTCTCACTTTTCATAGATACTAATTATGTTAATTCAACATGTAAATATTCAAATATTTTTTCTCCTCTTTCACACTTTTCATAGCAACTAAATATGCTTATGTTGGAGTTTTCTCGGAGCCACAGTTTTTGGTAACTTTTTGGCGAGCTTTCTAAAATTTATCTTCTAATTTCCTTAATTTGCAGCAGAATGCCAAAATTTTGACATAAATGGTCTTTTTTTTTTTTTTTTTTTGTTTTTTTTTTTTT